AGTTCGAATAACTTCAAGCATTGCGTTCGAATAATTTCGAACATCGAGTAGGAATAATTTGAGTTTGAATAATTTTGAGCAATAAGTTCGAATAATTTTGAGCTTCGAGTTCGAATAATTTCGAGCAACAAGTTTGTATATTTTATTTTTGAAAGCCTGTCAATGAACAAAGCACAGACCACTAGCGACATAGGATAGATGTACTTATATAATGTCACCGCAAGTTCTGTTATCTTTCTTCTATTTTCACAGTTATGAGATGCAAAAACCAACATCAGAAAGGCTTGTGACATTGTTCGCAAATATGGGAACCTGAAACATAGTTAATAATGTTGAAAGTGTGCGCCACCAAGAAACAAAATCAACGAGATGTAGATGGATAATAAAATTATTTTAGCAACAGTTGCATACGGTTGCTGTTCTCATAATGAACTGAATGATGGTAATGAGATTTTAATTAATAATTTCTCAAATAATTTATGGCAGAAAATCTAATTAAAAACAGAAAACATTGTATTGTGAACAGTGGTATTGAATTTACGAAACTACTTAATAATTAATTGGTAATAAATCCTTGCTTTTCAGAGCCTATTGGCTGTCAATAATGTATTTTGTTTTGATCATCAATAAATTATTTTACCTGCACAATGTCCGACCCGATTTTACTTTTACATGAGTTTTCCGTTAAAATAATTTCCATTACTGAAGGGAGGAACTCACTGTATTCAATATCGTGTCAAGTTAGGTAAAAAAATGATAAACCTCAGAGTACAATTATTTTATGTTTCAATCAAGATTATGCGTGACAATATAAAAATAATATCTGATCATAATATCTTGAGTAAAATACAACATCAGACAAACTATATGTTCTACTAGTAGTTAGATGTATTCTATAAAAGCAATCGATAATAAGTACTAGTCGACAAATTTAAGAATTATTTTAATAAAATTTTCAAAATGCGTTGTTAGTAAGGGTTTCGAGAATAAACATGAGTCATTTTTATTACAATTAAAGTATATGATGCCAAATATATTGACTTTAATATATCATAGAATTTAAAAATCTTAATAACAGATTTACTACACATTTTATTAACATCATAAATTTTCTCGTATTTTCCAAAGCTGTATCTAAATAAATATCCAGAACGAATTCGATTCTGATCCTTAAGGTGTTTGGACCCTTTAAGCGTACTGCGCTAAATTTCGACAAAAATCTGAATGCTCTGTCTGAAAATTGCTAAATGACATACTTACACGTATTTGCAGACCCAAAATCTTCAAATAAGTTCTTACTCTTTCTCAAAATCTTGAAAGTTGCTATTTTTTTAAAGAGACATAATTAGCGTGTTTAAAAATAATAGTACCAGTAGTCACGTTAGTTTTTTTCAAAAATGATCCTAAAAAAAAACTCGATGCTCTTCTTTTAAAAATTTTTAGGCCATATCTCTTAAAATGTTATGAATCGAAAAACTTTTGAAAATCTCAACAAAAAATGTGTTTTTGATAAATTACAGAGTATTAAATATCCTTTTGCCTCTAGAATAATCGAAACCGTGTTTTAATGTTTGAAAATGTTATCTAGGTAGTTTGACTTACAATATTTTCAAATAATTAGCATATAAAAAAATGTTTTTACTCAATTGTCCGTCGTGCATGTCCCTAAATTGTAGACGAGAAGCGCACGGAGAGAAATTAGAGAAAGGAGGGGTCAAGAGAAAGGGAAGAACTGAAAAGAATGAATAGTTGCAAAATATTGAGAAAGGGCCAAAATATTGAGAAGAGCAAAGAAAGAGGAGAGGGAAACGAATAAGAAAATGAGAAAATGAATGAGAAAATTAGAAGGTTGATAGCAATAAGAATTGATGGGGTGAGAATAATTAAGGGATGAAAAATGAGGAGGGTGAAAAAATGAGAATAGATGATACAAATGAGGAGTGATAAAAAGATGGAAGATGGGTGATAAAAATGAGGAAAATGACATGAGTGAGTAGAGGCAAAGTGGAATGAGGAAAGAAAGTGAAGAAAACGGATGAAGTGAGGGGAGACCATAGTAGAGTGTTTGTTTAAGAGGGACGGGGAGGGGCGACACGGGCGAATGCAAAGGGGCGGGACTGGGGGCGG